AAAATTCATACGCATAAAAATAAATACAATTTAAAAATATCTTGTCTGGACCTTTTGGTTTCAAACCCCTAGTGTTCTGTCAACTTTTCTTTGATTCCTTTTTTTCCATTCCTCCCTCCCATTCTCCCTTACCTGTGTTCTTCAGCTTCCTTTCCCAGGCTCATCCAGATTAAGAGTCCAGGGAGAAAGCCTTTCCATGTGTCCTCCACATTGGGACCCTCTGAAGACACTCAGTTGCTCCCATGGTTGTTTGCTCCGTTCTAGAATTTTGTTAAAGATTTACTGTCAGGATAATTTGGCGTTTGGGTTAGGAATCTATTTGCTATCACTTTATGCTGGGCTATTCAGGACTCAGTTCCCACTTTGCTCTCTTGCCATACTTCTGAAGTTTTTAGTGTGATCATCAGCCAGAGTGCTGATGGGGAGACCAGGCAACCTGAAGCTTTTCAATTCTTACACGTCACTCATCCACATTTGCATGGATTTTCAGTGGGGTGGGGAGTAGAGGCTGGATGTGTGACACAGCAGCTTCTATGGTTCACACGGTGACAGGAATAGCCAGTTCTGCCGCTCAGGGTGGGCACAACAGATGGAGTTTCATAGACTGGAGTCTGATCAAGTGGCTCCTGCTCTCAGACTGTTTAAGCTGTGTTCAGCAAAGATAAGTTCCAGGTGCTGTTTCTGTTGCCCTAATACCCAGTGGAACGCATCCTGCCACTCAGCCATCTGCTCAGATATTGGGAAAAGAGCCCCTACAGTACTTTTTTAATTTTCATAACTTTAAGCTATTGTACATATCATATTTCTTGTTTTTAGAATTTCCAAAATTTACTCTTTGACTATTTCCTCCACATGTACAATGTATCTTGATCATGTTCAACCCAAATCCCCCCACCACTCCTTCTGTCCCCACCAAAATACTTTCCCTCCCAACTTCATGTCTACATCTGTTTTCATATATTGGTATAGCCCACTGAGTCCAGTTCCTGCTTCCTGCATGCACATGGGTTTGGGGCCATCTGCCGGAGTGTAAGTAATCCACTAGCAGCCACATCCCCAAAGAAAAACGACTCTTCCGTCCCCTAGTAGCCCCTACAACGTTAGATGAAAACATATCAGAACTATTACAGCAAATTGAACAGAGTCCCTGCCCGGATCTTCTTTTAATCTAGCACAGAAGCAGATGTTGAACTGGTAATTATGATGAGGTATGGCAGCATTTGATGAGGGAAGTTTGCAGGGTATCACGTAGCAGGGAATCTGAGGGAGAATTGAGGTAAAGCCTACCTTCTTCAATTCGTGTTCTCTGTACTAGTGTTCTGTATACTGATTCAAGGCCAGATCTTGTATTTCTAGGCCAGATCTTGCCTCTGAGCTCCAGACCTAAGTATCCAGCTGTCATTTCCACATGTGGCTATCTTCCCCAGCTCTAAGAACTCAGCATGTCTAAAATGGAAATTGCCATGTTTTTCTCTGTGCTCACTCCTCATCTGTACATGGCAAACATCCACCTTAGACAACTCATTCTTGAAAGTTCCTTCTCCCTTTTGTCCTTCATCCCCAGACATCACCTTGGCTCCTGTGGGCCTTCCCATCCCATATGGCCTCCTCTCCAGCTTGCTGCCATGTCTCAGTCTTATCTGCCCTTGTTTCCTATAGCTTCCTTGTGTATATCCAGCATCACCCTTAGAAACATGGCATGTAGGGGGCTGGAGAGATGGCTCAGCAGTTAAGAACACTGGTTGTTCTTGCAGAAGACCCGGGTTCTAATCCCAGCACATGGCAGCTCACAACTGTCCTGTCCGTAATTCCAGTCCCAGGGGATCCAACAGCCTCTTCTGACCTCCATGGGCATGCACAACATGGGTGCGCTTACCTACATGCAGGCAATACATGCATGCACATAAAATAAAAATAATAAATAAAATTAAAAAGAAACATGGCATGTAATGTTACTCCTACCCCTCCCCCACATCACACTTGTTCATTTTGGGGACCCACTTCAGAAGTGATCTTCTCTAGCTATTGATATGGTCCTGCCCACTTGCCTTGTCCATCTTCTCTCTGGAACCCCTTATCTAGCTCCTCCTGAACCTGATCTTCGTGTCTCCTTCAGGTACCATTTAGCTCTTTTTTTGCAAAAAAAATCTCCTTCCTTTTCTGGTTACTTGATTACTGCTTTCATAGTTTATTGTGTTTTCCTTCTTGGATCACCAAGCACAACTCCAACTAAATAAAGAACTGGGTATTAAGTTGTTCAGTGCCCATCCTCCACCTCAAGGAACGCTCCAGAGCCTAGGGATTATGTATCTTCCAGGGCCATTCTATCTCCCACTTCTATAACATCATCTGATGTATTTAGGTGCTTAACAGATGTTTCATAAGTAAATACTATATAATGAGTCATGGGCTAGGAATATAATAACAAAGCTACTGAAGACATGTATTCTTAAAAAAATTGATCTTATTAGAAAACAACTTCTGAGCTAAGGGTGAGCATGAGAATGACAGCAAAACAGTGGAAGTGGGGTAGGAATTTGGGGCCAGTAGAGGGCATGATGGAAGTGCACATAGCATTCATGTTGCCTTTTTGGTGGGGTTAAAGCCAGTGGGTATAATGCACAAACTTTGCACAGAGGAGAACATCCTTAGCCCTGCACTCTTGTTTGCCTTTTGATCCTGATGTCATCCCAATCTGTGGTTCTTTTCACTCCAAGTGCCTGCTGTCTGTCCTCCAGCATCTAAAAGATGTGTTCCCAAGTTTGCTCTGATTGTGACTCAGTTCTTCGTAACTTGATCTGGCTTCAGCTCTCCAAGTTCTGGGCTTCTCTGCAGTCAGCAGCTGTGCTGTGTGCTGTGCTGTGGGATAGTGAGTGCTCTGGCCCCTTCATTCACTGTCTCCCCATCCAAAAAGCACTTTGGTGGCCTGCTGATGCCCAGCCCATCTGGGGGCCAAATTTGTAAAAAGTGATTGGCAACTCTGTACCTCATTGAGACTCATAGACCTCAGTCTTTGTGGACAGATTCTAACATCAAGGATCCTTGTCTAAAGCAAAGATATACTTTCTTCAAAATTAAGCTGAAGGAGGAAACCTACCAAGGATTCTTGGCATCCTCCTTCCTAGTCTATGCCTTGGGAAGGGGGGAGGGGGAGAGGTAGGTCCTAAAGCAGCTAGCTTTTTGCACTCTGGTGTATACAGACAAAACAAAAATAAAAGCCACTCTGAGACATACTGAGAGTGAGCTTTATTTGAGATTTGGATTATGACAATAGAATCTGCAGGTCAGACACTAGCTTGAAATGTACACAAAGTTAAGTTTTGTTACCTGTGTGGGACAGGATTTGGTTTTGACTTTTAGTTTTTGAGAGGATCCTGCTTGATGGGGCAGGATGTTCTCTTTTAAAGGTAACAATTAGCTTTGCAGTCAGTTTCTTTGGCATTGATTCCCTAATCCTATCCCTGGCCTGACAATGGAGAAAAGGAAACCTTCAAGCTGGGCAGTCCTGCATTCCTTTTTTTTATACTCCACAGGTATATTCATCTAGCACACCCCCCCCCCGTAGATATTTTAATAGTTGGTTGCAAATTGAATTTCTAGAAATCAAATCCCTCTAGCTGCAGGAACCTATGAGATAAGCTTCACCTTCCTTTCTAATTAAACATTGTGAGATAGTGATTCTTGGCTCATTTTTTTCCTAGTTTCTTCTTTTTGTTAAGTAATTACCTTGTAAATAAGTAAAGTTCCTAGTAGGGGGTTATTGCTTAAAGCAGGCCTGCAGAGAACTTTTTTACAGGTTTGAATTTTAGTATTCTGTGTTCATTTTCTTTTTCCTTCTTTTCTTCCTCTCTTTCTTTCTAACCTGAGTCCAGACCTCCTTGTGTTTGGTAGCCCTGTGGCTGTCATCAAAAAAAATATGAGTCTCCAAACCTAACTCCTCGGTTTTTATTTATTTTGTTTTCTCTATGTGTTTATTCTTTGCTCATAAAAAATGAATGAACAGTGAAAACTATCAAGTGAAAAATTCAAATATGAAAGTCAAAGGCCAAAATGAAGACATAGAAAAATTCATTTGAAAAAAAAAGATAATTCAGGGAGCATTCAACCCCCCCCCATCATGTGTGATATTCCTGGGGGGATTCAAAAATGAGAAGGTGTGTGCCTTGACCTTGGACCTGGGAATAAGAAAGCTCTTGGAATATAGATAACATAACATAAATAAGACAACTGAGTAGGAAAAGTGGGACATAAAATAAGGAAATTCCCCCAGAAAATGGGATGAAAAATATGGAGAAAAATGTACGAAAAATGGAAGATCAAGAGATTCACACTGTGAATGTAGTTGAAGTCCCAGTCCAAAAACAGAAAACAAAACAAAAAAAGAGGGAGGGAAATCAAAGCAGGTTCCCAAAGTAAAGGAGAAGTTACAGGTTGAAAGGGCCAAGATAAGGCCCTAAATAATGGTAAATATTTAAATACCACAGATAAACAATTCCTTGATAGTTCTGAAAGGGAAAAGAAACAGGCGGAAGCAAAAATGGGGTCATTGCACAAAGGGCTGGAGATCACAATGACAGCAGAACGGGAATGTTAACCAGAAACTGTCCTATAACTGGTTTTCGAGTCTGAGAAGAGTAAGGGGTGAAAAAACTAAATCCTTTTCTGTCCTAGTAAGAAGTTGGTAGCCGGCCTCCCTCCGTAAGAAGTCAGGAAACAGCAAGATATGCATTTGATTCAGAAATTTGGAAACCAAACACACTCTGGATGGAGAAAAGCTATGAAACAAACCTGTTTTCACTAAAAGGCCTCTTGACTGTAGCAATGATGCATTGGGGAACAGAGCTCTTGTTTTTTAATATAAAAATTATACAATTTGTACCCCTGTAATACCACGTTAACAGTTTAACAATCAAAACTGAATTAAAAAGTCAGTAAGGATCCACCTGAGGCTTGTGTGGGCCTCTGGCAGCTGTGACGCTAATGGCTCCTTTTCTCCTTAGACTCGAGGTATATTCTCCTGCCTGTCGTGTTGCATCATCTTCACATCCACTTGCAAGAACAGAAGGACTTGATCATGTGCGCGCGTATCCTTAGCAACGTATTTTGTCTCATCAAGAAAAATAGCTCAGTAAGTACATGCAGGTCATAGTATGTAGTTCTTGTCAAATGGTTTCTGCAAATAAAATTTTAAACGTCTTCAAAGATATCACACTAAGGAGGAACCCACTGAGACATTCTTCATTTGTAGCCAGCCTGGACTTCTTGCTTTTTCTTGGAAGGAATTTTTCTTAAAACCTTGTGGTATTATCATAACCCTGAATAACCTGGTTTCCTAAACTTGTATTTCAAAGAAGAACTGAATACCAAGTGAGAAAAATTAGAAATCTCAAAGCCTCCCACATGTGTCTTTAATCTTGATAGGATGAATGCTCTGTGGCAAAAAATAAATTACTGCTTGCAGTGTGGTGGTTTGGGTCTGTTCTATGAAAGGCCACGAGATAATGCTCAGAACTTGGCCTTGGCCCTTGAGCCTGATCCCATGAGGATTTCAGGAAGCAAAGAACAGCTCCAGAAGATTAGGGTTGCTGTGCAGTACAGCCCTGCACCAACAGTAGTCTCTACATTGTGACTTTGAGGACACTGTAAGTCACAGTTTTAAGAGTACAATGCAGGGGCTGGAGAGATGGCTCAGCAGTCAAGAGCTCTGGCTGCTCTTTCAGAAGACTGGGGTTTGGTTCCCAGCACCCACATGGCAGGTAACAACGTCCATAACTCCAGTTCTAGGGGATACAATACCGTCTTCTGACCTCTGGGGTATTGTATGACACGGGTGCACTTACACACACACAGGCAATATACTTGTAGACATAAAATAAAAATAATAAAAGAAAGAGTGCAGTGTAAAATGGAAAAAGAAAAATGCCATGCCATGTTTGTTTATAAATGGGGCAAGCCCAGGATTCATAGTCACGACTCAAGAGTCTGATGTGAGATCTACATAGAAAGGATGTCCTGTTCCCATTCTGTCAGTCTGTGGCTGCTAATTAAGCATTGGACTCATTGATAGCAGGTTATAGAGAACAGCTTGACAGCAAGTGCTGAACCTCCTGTTTCTGATTGCTAATTAACCTCTGTGCTATGGTTCTCACATTTCTTCAGTGCTAGGATAACTTCTGAAGAGTAGGGATGGGAAGAACGCCAGGGGAAATGATGGGGAGAGTGCCCCTGTAGTGTGGAAACAGGGGTGGCATTTGAGGGAAAAAAGGAATTCTAACCTAAAGGTGGGATAGGTGGGGAACCCAACAATCCCGGGCCTAGTGGTGATCTGGAATGAGGTAGAGTGTGGCCATAGGAGAAGGCATTCACCCTGCTTTGAAACTCCCGCTGGCTACTTCACAAATGCTCAAGCTATGCCTGGCAAGACCATTTCTCCAAATTACAGTTGCTATGAGTAAAAGCTAGATAGTTCATTAGACGAAACTGAAAGCAAACAGCAATAGTACAGATGATTTCTTTTTATTTCTCCTTCTCTATTTATCTTTGCAATTTGCAATCAGGGTTTGAACTTAGCTAATGAGGAATTCAGGCCTGAAACCAATTCACTGGAGGAAATTTTCTTACAAGTGTTAAGAAGTTTATCATTAAAAAATAACCAAGGGGCTGAAGAGATGGCTCAGGGGTTAAGAGCACTGGCTGCTCTTGCAGAGGACCCCAGTTTGGTTCCCAGCACCCACATAGCAGCTAATAACTGCAGTTAATAACTCTAGTTCCAGGGGAATCTGATGCCCTCTTCTGACTTCTGTGAGCATTGCATAACACAGGTGCAATTACACTCATATATAGGCAACACACTCATATACATAAAATACAAATAAATAAAATATTAAAAAATTAGTCAAAAGACTTCTTCAAAGTCATGCTTTCTCTAAGAATCTTTTGCAAAGAGCCACTTGTATGCAAGAGATTTGTCTCATGCAAATGTATTAAAAACCCAAGGCCACTATGTAGCAATCAGTGTAAACCAATTTGAATTTCCCTCCAGAGCCCTGGGGCATGGATGGTGTTAACTGCTTCAGGTAAGCAAAGCTCTCCTGTGGCTGCTCATTTCAGGGCCCTCTGTAACTGGCTACACTCTGCTAGACTGATTTCCATTCCCTTATGTTTACATGTTTTCATGTCTGTGGGAATAGTTATTTGCACATAAATCAGTCTTGGAAGATGATCTTGGTGACCGCCATGTGGAGAAGAGTCAATATCAGCACAATTAGGAGTCAAGGAATTAAGACCTGGCAGAGACTGTGAGGGAAGACTAAGGCCCCAAGAGGCAAATTGATTTGCTCAAGGTTACAGGCTCCTTTAGAGCATAGCTGGCCTCTGAATTAGCCTTTGTTTTTCTTGAATCACCAAATCTTCTTAATTTGTTTCTCAGCTTTACATTGCACAGCTAAGTGGTGTGTTCTTTGGCGAACTGTTAAGTTCTCTGAACCTTTGTTTTCTATGAGGTCATTTACCTACAGGAAATCTACATCTCTTATACTCTTGAGTTCTCTGAGTCTTTGGTTCTAGATTTAAGAATGGACTTTATCCCCTTTGTCATTGAAGAGAGATTTCAGTACATAAGAAGCCACATTTTCCTAAGCATATTGTTTTTTCTCCTAAGGAAAAGTCCGTGTTGGAGGAAATAGATGTGATAGTGGCCAGCCTGCTGGACATCCTGCTCAGAACCATCTTGGAGATCACCAGTCGGCCTCAGGCATCCAGCTCCGCCATGCGGCTGCAGTTCCAGGATGTCACTGTAAGATCATCTAGCAGGGGGCACACATACAGGGCCTGGTTGTGTTTCCTAAAGCTCTAATCCTTTAGGGGGTGGGTTGCAGTATGACTGGGAAATCTGGTCCTTGGGGCGACCTGTGGGCATTGTAAATACATGCAAGGTTACCTTCACTACACAAATAAACTAGAATAGGAAGCCTGTGTGTGAAGATGTTACAGTGAACAATTCTAAATTCCAGAAAGCCAACTCTGATGTTAGTTCTTACTTTGCCCAATTTGATTTAATCTATTATTTTATATCCCCAGTCAACTTGGTTGCTTTGCATTCTCTCTTCATCTATCAAATTGCCTGAGGAACAAAGAATAGAGGGACAGCAGTAGAAATCAGAGGCTTTGTGTTCTAATTCTGGATTTTTCATCATGACTTATCAGGATTTTTTTTCTAGGTGTCAGTTTGCCTAGTGTGAATGAGAAGATTTGACTTGATAAAGTATAAGGGATCTTCAAGCTCCACTATCTTAAGATGCTAACATAACAGGATGCAGGCAAAATATTAAGAAATATGTATCTATGTCTATATGTGAATACATACATAAATTATGTTTATTTATTCATGGCAGTGCTGCAGATCGAACTCAGTATATTAGGCAAGTGCTCTACCACTGAATTATCCATACCCATAGAAATTTCTATCTAAAACTCACATTAAATTTACTTTAAAATGTTTAGGTTTTTAAAGACTATTCTTCCAAGCAAGAGGTATCATTTGTAGAAATGGCAACAGATGCTCTGGTATCCACATGTAAATTCTTTCTGCAAATGTTAACTGCTTGCTGTCAACTCTATAAACTGTGTTGGGGTGTTTGAGAATGTTGAGATCCTGGTGCAAGTACATGTCACCTTTATTTAAAAATTAAGAAGTTTGGGATAGGGAGATGGATCAGTGGGTAATAGTGCTTGCAGTACAAGCATGAGGCCCTATTTGGAGCCTCAGCACCCATATAAAAAGCCATGTATGGACACATGGGCCTGTGTCCATAGTTGAAGTTGAAGTTGAGGGCTGGAGGAGACTGAGACAGAAAGATCACTGGAACTTGATGGCCATCAGCCTAGCTGAAAAATAGTGGGCTCCAGGTTCAGGGAGAGACCCTGTCTCAAGGGAATTAGGAGAACACAATAGAGGAGACCTCTCACTTGGCATCCTCCTGGCCTACACCCCCCCACAGCTATATATATGTGTATAGGTCATATATCACATATACGTATACACATATGTATACCAAGCACAAAAAAATAAATAAAATAAAATAAAATAAAATAAAATAAAATAAAAAATCTGCTGTGCTTTGCTCCAAGGTTGGGTGTTTAGGATAACCATCTAACACTGAGTTTTAGTGCATCTGCTTCCAGCACTGAGATTTACCTAAAAGGACTAAATTTTGGTTTGAGCAAATAAAGTTAAACTATTTTAATAAACCAGGGTTTTACATGGTATGAAAGAAACCATCCTTATGTAAATAATAGTTGTATTGCCTCATTTAAAGTAAAGAAGGGTAAATTACAGTTTCCCATTGGTCTGTTGAAGTCTGACCTGTGACAGTGGTCCCACCTCCCAGGTTTGCTTCATATGCTTACATGCTGCTTGATGTGTGATGAATGCTCCTTGAATGTTACTTAAAGCAACTGGAATGTATTATGGGTTTGAAGGCTTGTTTTTTTTTTTAATTATTATTTTGTTGTTTTTCACTCTTTATAGATTAAAGCTTTTTATTTTGCAATAAATATAAAGCCACATACAATTGTAAGAAAACATTATAAAAATATTGCATGTATCTTTTACCCAGTTCTGTAAATGTAACCTCTTGCAGAATTCTAGACCAATGTCACAACCAGGACATGGGCGTTAATACAATCAATATGCCAAATGTTTCCATCACCTAAACCTATTTCACCTCTGCCCCCTCCTTCAGCCCTGGCAACCACTACTCTTTTCATTTCTGTAACTTTGTCATTTTAAGGATGTTATAAAAATAGAAACTTGGTGCATGTGGCCTTTTGTGATTGCCTTTTTAAAAACTCAGGATAGTTCTGTGAAGATTCGTCATAGTTACTGTGTGTATAGTGTTTCTTTTTTGTTACTATTATTCCATGGCACATATGCACCATAGTGTTTTTAACTCTTCGCCTGTGAAGGTCTTTGAGGTTGTTTCCAGAGTTTGGATAGTACTAAGAAAGCTATTATAAGCATTTATGTTTAGGTATTTATGTCAGCATACATCTTTACTTTTATGGTAGAAATTCCTAGGGATTTGGCTGCTGAATCATATGATAGGTGCATGATCAGTTTTTTTAAGAAACTGCTAAGCTTTTTCCCCAATGGCTATGTCATTTTACATCACCACATATACATAGTATGAATGATCTAATTTCTTAATACCTGCTTCAGCATTTGGTGCTGTCACTTTTCCTTTAATGTCTGTGTATATATATATGTGTCAGGGTGAGGCATTCCCATAGCTCTATAGTTGCATCTCATTACAGTTTTAATTTCCATTTCCCTAATGACTGATGATACCCTGGGCATCTTTTCACTTACAAGTTTGCCCTTCATGCAGCCTCCTAAATGAAATACCTTTTAATGTTTTTCCCTCCTTTGTGACTGAGTTGCCCTTTTACTGCTCAGTTGTGAGTGGTTTTTTTTTATATGTTTTCTCCTACTCTGTAGCTTGTTTTTCATCCTCTTAACAGGGTTTGCAAAAGCAAATATTTTTAATTTTAATGAAATTCAGTTTACTAATATTTCCTTTGATGAATCACAAGTTGATTTCATTTTAAGAACTTTTTATTTATTCATAAAGACTGCTACCTAATTTTTTCCTCAAGTATAGTAATTTGTAATTAATAGTTTTATATGCCACATCATTTCATCCCGCTGTGTTTTCAGGGTTAGCATCTACCTGTGCTCTTGCTTCATTCCATTTGAAATCTTAGTTCTTGGTATAATTAATGATGTTCATCTGAAATCCAAAGGTTTCTGTATCATAGGGTTCTGCATCTTAAGCCTTCTGTTTTAGCTGGCTTTATGTAATACCACTCACTAGGGAGAAGGGAGATTTCCACTTATTATATGCAAATTGTGGTGGATATCCAGGTCTCCCACTGGAAAGTTCCAGGTCTACACCTGGTCTCTGCTGTCACCACTGTGGAAGTGCACTATACACATTCCTGCTCTTCTTCATTTGACCTCAGATGGGATTAAAGCACAGAGGCAAAAGTATGATTTGCTCCTGTCAGCTTGGGGTGACAGCCCCCACAACATCCTTACTGACACTACTGTCCATGAGTGTGAAAGTACTGGGTGGACTTCCTGTGAAACAGCCCTGGGAGAGATGCTGGAGCACATTATTGCCACCTCAAGAGTGAGTTTGGTGATGCTAGCCTTTTCATTAGACATCTCCTGGAGAAGGGCCCTTATTACTAAAGCCGTGTCTTGTTAGCCTTCCATTTCCTGGTTCTCTGGTTACAGAGGAGACTTCTACAAGAGCTTCTCCCCACACACACATCTGTTGGCATTTTAGGGTCTCTTGCTTCTTTTTCTCCAAGCCTGGGACACATTTGTTAGAAAGAAATCCTGGCAGATTCAGTGCCATGTCCTTCTTTGGCATCCAAGTTTCCTAGCCTATCTGCCTTCTCTCTACCTATCGGAATCTTCTTCCACTTGTTTCATGTATAACATCCAGATTTTTAATTGAACTTAGCAGGAAGAATAGGAAGAAATACACCCACCTTTGCGTCTAAGGGAAGGAAGGCTTCTTTGTAGGGTTACTTTTGTTTTGTTTTTTGAGACAGGTGCTCACTCACTATGTAGCCTTGGCTGGCCTAGAACTTGCTGTGTAGACCATATTTCTGCCTGCCTCTGCCTCCTGAGTTCTGGGATTAAAGGTGTGTGCCTCCACATTGACTTTTCTTAGTGGTTTTAATGATAGCGTTTTTTACTGCTTCCCAGAACTAAAGATCTTGGATAATACTGAAATTATAATAGCACATAAATCATAAGTACTGGACTGCCTGTTTTGTGTGTACAATGAATGTGCATGCTGTGTTGCACTGCATCTTGATGGCTCATATGTGATCTTTGACCATCACAGTGTGATAGCCAATGTGAGGCTGAAAAAATAGCTTAGCAGTTAGATCATTTGCTATGCAATCAAGAGGACCTGAGTCTGGAGCCTTGCACTCGTGTCACAAGCCACACATCCCGTGTACATCTTTAACCCCAGTTCTGAGAAGAAAAGAAAGAGGAAAATTTCTGGGCCTTTTTAGCTTCCTGCCTAGCTAAGAAAATGAGAGTCTCAGGTTCAGGGAAAGAGCCTTCCTCAAAGGAAGAGGTAGAGAATGACAGAGGATACCTAATACCTCATGCCTTCTTCTAGCCTCCATGGGCACACAGCCATGTGCGCCAGCATACACATATGCCCATGTACTTGCACAGACACACATAAATAAACATTTAAAAAATAGCCAGTGTTTATTAGAACACTTGAAGAAGGCAGTAATTTGGATTTGTGGGTGCTCTGATTTGTGGGTCTGGGTAAAGAGGGTGAATGTCCTCTGTACTAAATTTAAATTTTTTTATATTTTATTATTTTTATTTTATGTGTATGCATGTATTGCCTGCATGTAAGTAAGTGCACCTGTGTCGTGCAATGCCCGCGGAGGTCAGAAGAGGCTGTTGATCCCCTCTGTACTAAATTTTAAAAAAATGTTTTATTTATGATTTTTATTTTATGTTCATGAGTGTTTTGCCTGAATCTAGGTAGGTGCACCTATGTTGTAAAATGCCTGTGGAAGTCAGAAGAGGATGCTGTATCCCCTAGAACTCAAGATACAGATGGTTATTAGTGGCCATGAGGGTGCTGGGAACCAAACCTGGGTCCTCTGTAAGAGCAGCCAGTGCTCTTAACTGCTGAGCCATCTCTCCAGCCCCTGTACTATATCCTTTTTAGAATCAATTTAAGGGAG